TATACAGGGTGTATCTGAATGACTGCAACAAACTTCAAGGGGTGATTCTTTAGTGAATTTTAAGGGTACTTTGATATATGAACCATGGGCGACTTCGGCTCCCCTAAGGAGCTACACCCCTCAAAAAATGGCGGAAAATTTTGGTTTAATTTTTTTTCTCAAAAACCATAAACGCTAGGAAAATGAAATTTGGGGAATATGTTTAACTCATAATAAGGCATGTTTTGACCCTATTCGTACTTTCAACCTACCCCTCTAAACTACTAAACGTAACCACCCCCTTTACATTTTTGCTAATATTTTTTATCGCCAACCAGCAGCAAAACCATACTTTATGCTATCCATTTGCGGCAGTAAAGTGACACTTTGTGCATTTAGCGGCAGACAAAGTACTTTACCAGCCGCATATGCATATATCAAAGTACCCTTAAAATTCACTAAAAGAGGGTTTGCACCCTTGAAGTTTGTTGCAGTCCATTTGCAGTCATTCAGATACATCCTCCTGTATACTGCTGACCTATACCCAGATCTCTGATGATGTTCAATGTCACAAGCTTGACCACTTTAATACGTTCATTGCCCAGCTGAAAATTGAAGTTTCGTGTGGTGTCCAAATTCCAAATTTATTCAGTGGTAGTAGTGGTAATAACATTATAAACTAAAGGATTCCAAAAAATACTAAATTAAAAACTGTAAAAACACAAAAACAACTTCATTTGATACTACAAATAGGAAATTAAACGCAACTTTTAAACAATTTTTTTTTAATTTTATTTTTTTTATAATGAATAATATTTTTTATAAATTAATGTCTTCTATGTTCAATTTTATTTATGAAAGAATCGTATTTCCGTTTTACATTTAATAACTGTTGATTAGCTTCTATTAAATTTGGTGTTAAGCCACAATACTCCTTTCTTAATTCCTTTTCCAAACAATTTTTATCATACGTTAATTGTTGTAAAATCTCCATGTCACTTAAAATGTTATCGAATTTAAACCTTGGATCTTGCAACCATGAAAACTAAAAATAATAATGACAAATTATTTATACTTTCTGTATGAAGCGAAACCGAATACTTATTAATATTCAGATTCTTACCAGTGAACAGGATAAATAAGAAACTAAAGTGTCACTCACCTCCGGTTTCCTCACATGCTTCTGATAACTTTTACACTTCTCTTTTAATACTTTGATCTCTTTTGAAGGCACAGAATATTGTTCTAAAAGGTTTTTTGAATGATCCACTTCTCGACAAGCTATTTTAACTTCATCAGAAAGTTTTAAATTCATCTTTTCATATAGTTGAATACGCGCTTTTATTTCCAACATGTCTCGTTTAGCTTGAAACTCAAGTTTATCATTCTTATTAACAGCATTTGATTCTAAACTGTCAGTTACAAGATTTAAAAGTCCTAAGTCTTCTAACAAGCCTCTTAATCTAGTACCTAAAGAGAATTAATACAGAATATATTAATATATAAATCAAATTTAATATATTTAGGTAAATGTAAACCGAAAAGATATTTTTTTTTTAGGTTAGGTTACAATTTTAAGACTTACACTCTATAGCGAGATATTCGTAAGTGTCTTCGAATTTTTCTATATCCAAACCATTAGTTAAATCGTTTTGATCCATTTTATAAGTTATACGCAATAATATTATTATTTTTTTAGAAAGTAAAGCAATTATTCAATTCGAAAAGTGACAGCAAACGTTTATTATTAATGTGAAGTTAGAAGCATAATCACAGCATAATAAAAACGAGTGAAAAGAAATTAATTACATTTTAATTCTAACTTTACGTTATTTTTTTTGCCTTCAATTTCTTATTTATTTATAATAATAAAATTAATTTAATTAATTAAATGTTATTGTGTAAATAATTAAACATTATTACAGTGACTAATCGAACATTAATTTCAATTTATAATAAAGATAACGTGCTAATAATAAATGTTTTTCATCAGAGATTAAAGCAGGATTAAAGTATGAGTAATTATAAAATAAACAAATTACCGAATTAGGTCATTCGTCCGTTAGATATATTGATTAAAATTTTAAAATACTTTATAAAATTAGATAACATTAAGCGATAATTAATAATTATTACTCCTTAATGGTTTCATCTTTTTAAAAACTTAAAACGAAATATTAAAAAAGATTAAAATTTAAGATCATTGAGTATTAGATCAAATATCAACATTTACTTAAAAAACCGAAATGTCATAATATGACATTTAGTTGTCAACTAAAAATCATTGTTGTTCGTTGCGCTACAAAGAAAAACGTTTAGGTAAACAGCGTAATAGTTTTTCAAGCCTGAAAATCTAAAAAATTTAAAGTGTTGTTGTTAGAAAAATAAAATGGGTGCAGTTCTTGGATTATGCAGCGCAGCCCAGGTAAAATACAAAAACAAAGAATCCACCAAAGAATCAACGAAGTTATTTTTGTATTTAGAATCATTATGTTTATTTATTTACATATGCTTATTTACAGATGGCCTGTTGCTGTGGAAGTGCAGCTTGTTCGTTATGTTGCTCGGCATGTCCTTCATGCAAAAACTCAACATCTTCACGGATTATGTACGCCTTAATGTTAATATTAGCAACAATTGTGGCATGCATTATGTTAGCCCCTGGACTACAAGATTCCCTACGAAACGTGCCATTTTGTAATAATCAAACAACATATTTACCAAAGGAGGCTGTATTTAATTGTAGCCAAGCTGTTGGATATTTAGCTGTTTATCGAATATATTTTATTTTAACTTTATTTTTTGTCCTAATGGGAATAATGATGATTGGGGTTAAAACTTCTAAAGATCCTAGGGCTGGAATTCAAAATGGGTAAAATAATTAATTTGAAATGAATTCATTTCGTTTAACATTTTATTTGTAAACAGTTTTTGGGGTCTTAAATACTTATTAGTTATTGGTGGTTTAATTGGAGCATTTTTCATTCCGGAAGTGTCGTTTGGACAAACATGGATGTATTTCGGAATGATAGGAGGATTTCTATATATTCTAATCCAATTGATATTGATTGTTGACTTTGCCCATTCTTGGGCTGAGTATTGGGTTGGAAATTATGAGGAAAGCGAATCAAAAGGGTGGTATGTCGCTTTGTTAGGGGCGACCATTTTAAATTATGCGCTTACAATAACTGGAATAACTCTTTTATTCGTTTTCTTTACAAAGGTAAATTTAAATATAGAAATTAAACCTCAATATTAATAATTAATTTTTTTTTAAGCCTGACTCTTGTGGATTAAACAAATTTTTCATTTCATTTAACTTAATTTTGTGCATAATTGTTAGTGTGACTTCAATTTTACCAGCGGTGCAAGAAAAACTTCCAAGATCTGGGTTATTACAATCATCAGTTGTATCAATTTATGTTACTTATCTAACTTGGTCATCAGTTTCGAATCAACCAGGTAATCATTTTAATTTTTGTAATTTTTATTTGTTAATATAATTTTTATTCATTATAATTTTTCCTTAAGATAAAAATTGCAACCCCGGGTTATTGGCGATTATTGGAGCTGGGAAGGAAAAGACCAACCTTGGTTTTGATATGGAAAGTATAGTTGGATTGGTTATATGGTTTTTGGTTGTAATGTATTCATCATTAAGGACTGCATCCAAATCTTCAAAAATTACCATGTCTGAACATGTTTTAGTTAAAGATACTGGAGCAGGTTAGTATACATTTTGTTTTTTAATAATGTATAAGGTGAGTCATATAATGACTAATTTTTATCAAGTTTAATTAATTAGTATAGTATTGGAGATTAAGGATTTATTAAGAGTAAATTGACAAAATGTTGACAAATCTTTATTTATTTATTTTTCTTTTTGAACTTTCTACACTATTTTTTTAACCATTACTGTCAGTCTTTCATTATATATTATCTTTATAAAATATGCGAGAAAACTTTTTTATATTATAATTCAGTATATTGTAATAATAAAGTTGCAATCTATTTTGGTTTTGAAACATTTACTGTGTTTTAAAAATTTGAAATTTAATGAAAGGTATTATTTGTGACCTAAAGTAAATAATTATTTAATTTTTATGAAGATTAATGTGTGAAATTTTGATGAATCAAGAAACTTATGGCATTGTTTTATCAGGAAGTGTTTAAGAATATTCTGAAGTTGAGGCTTTTTCATAAAAAAATGGTGTCAAGCAGGGTTCGCCCAATTTAAAACACGATTTTACTGACTTTATTTTGCATATTTAAGAAACAACTAATACATCAAATTAAACGGCAGAAATTCATGTTTTGCATAGTACTTTTCCTTTGTTGTTTCCATTGAACTCATAATGGTGGTACTGAGTGATGAGAGGTACTTTCTTGGTTTACTTAAGAAGTTGGCATAGAAAGGTACATTGTTCTGAACTTCTTTTTAAAGATTTTTTTGAATATAGAAATAAAACACAGATGTGACCTTTATACTTGCATAAAATTTAATTTATATCAGTACCGGTTTCGAAGTTTTCACTTCATCATCAGCTGACAACTATACAGAGAGCGTAACTATTATTAAAATACGTAATGGATATAAAAAAAATGTGTAAAAATATGAAAATATAAAAAATATATAAAAAAATATAATGAAATACTCACTGTCAGAAAGTGAAGCCCACAGATTGCAACATTAAAGAAGGTTTGAAATGTTGATAATTTAAATTTTGAAAGAAATTCTGAATATAAAATTGCGTCGTTATTAAAATTTAAATACATTCACAAAGTATATCAAAAACTTTTATAGTATGATTAGTTAATAAATTTAAAATGGTGTTACGATTTGAAAAGGCTATATTAATTAAAATAAAAAATAAAAATAAATAATCCTTTATTGATGCTTAGACCATTACAAACATCATACATAGATTTAAACGAATAAAGGCGTCCGCTAGGCGTGAATGGATACACCACAAAAGCACCAAGGTGCTGCGCGTGGCTCAAAATATTTCAACTTTTAAGTTAGCGAACGATAAGTATGAACGGTAAGATTAGGTAAATTAACACATTATAAACAGATGTATTCACAGTTATACTATATGTTCAAATATGAAAAAAAAAAGAAGCAAATAAAGACATCAAGTAACGGCTAAGTACAGATTAGTTAATTGTACGTCTGTAATTGATTTTATCCATAATTTTATGAGATAGTTCAAGTTTGTACGAGTTACACTCCTATCAGTTGCCGAGAGAAATCCAGTGAAGCTATTGTAAATTCTATGTGCATGACAAATAAAAAATTTTTCTGTGTGCGCTTTAAAATGCTTAATAGGTCTTGCCTCGGAAATTCCAGCAGTAGTGGATTGTTGATAATAAATTTAGCAATCTCGATTGTATAAAGTTGCCTAATATTAAAAACCTCAGTGAGTTCAAACAGCGCGTCCGATGAGAAGTCGCGCGGTTTATATGTCATAATTTTTAAAATAGTTCTCTGGGCAACCTCAACGTTAGTAATAAGATAAGTCGAGGCATCTCCACAAGCTAAGATACCGTATATCAACAAAGATTGGACTAAGGCGTAATAAACCACTTTAAGAGAACTAATCGGTAGAATTTCACGCAGTTTCTTGAAAACATAGAATAGTTTTCGCAATCTGACACACAAGTTACTTATATGATCCCCCCACCGAACGCACTGATCAATCATGACACCAAGGTACTTGGTTGACCCGACCCGGTTTATTTTATTTGAGCAAATGCATGCTTCTGGTTGGCATTTATCTGAGTGAAATGTTATTTCATTTATATTTGGTAAGTTAGCAGAATACGAAGAGAATGTAATGAAATGAGACTTCTTAATGTTAAGTGATAATTTATTTCTAGTTAACCAAGCTNCAGAGAGTGATCAACTTTGTCGAAGGCCTTACTAAAATCGGTGTACACTGCGTCCACTTGAACATTTTCATCGAGCGACGCAAATAGAAAATCGGTATATTCTAAAAGATTAGTTTCGACTGAACGCCCGGAAAAAAAACCGTGCTGATTAGTATTAATACTTCCACGAATTTGAAAAAATACACTGGCGTACACCAACTTCTCAAAGACCTTTCCAAGTATGGGTAATATAGATATTGGACGATAATTGACAACGAAGTGTCGATCACCTGATTTAAAAATGGGTGCAACGTTGGCTCGCTTCCACGCATCCGGAAACACTCCCAGCTTAATGGATTTATTATATATCAGCTGTAAAGGAACTGATATTGCCTGAGCACAGTTTCTGACCAGTATAGCAGGTATACCGTCAGCACCAGGACCCTTATTCAAAGCTACTTGACGCAATGCCCCCTCCACTTCAATGAGACCAAAGTCATGAATGAGTACGCGCGGAGAATCAACCGTCCCCACCGCATCATAATGGGGAGCAGACGGTGCTGCGAAAACTGCACTAAAATAATTCGCAAATAACGAACAGATGGCATCGCCGCTCGATGCCTCAACCCCATCCAGAATTACAGTTGATGGGATACCCGTACCGCCTCTTCTGCGTTTGAGATATGCCCATAACTGCTTTGCGTCCAATGCAACACCATCCTGCACACGTTTAATATACGCCTTATAATCCTGATCAATCAGGTATTTAGAGCGTCCGCGCAGAAGACGAAACGTTAAATAGTTCAACTGATTTCCACAACGCTTCCACTTTTTATGCGCTTTATACTTTTCCTTTATTACTTTTATTGTGCTCGTAGAGAACCAAGCCGGGTAACCATTCACAGGATGGCATTTGTGTGGTACAAATTTTTTAATGGCTAAAGACAAATGATTATAAAAAATATCCGTAGCAGTGTTGACATTATTTACATCTGCAAATACGGTTTCCCAATTAATGTCATTAAGGTAATCACTGATATCATTAAAAGCAGCTCGTTTAAAGTTATAAGTAGTAGGAAGTCGTTCAGTGAGGTTGATAATAAATTTAGCAATCTCGATTGTATAAAGTTGCCTAATATTAAAAACCTCAGTGAGATCAAACAGCGCGTCCGATGGGAAGTCGCGCGGTTTATATGTCATAATTTTTAAAATAGTTCTCTGGGCAACCTCAACGTCGATAAGTCGAGGCATCTCCCCAAGCTAAGATACCGTATATCAACAAAGATTGGACTAAGGCGTAATAAACCACTTTAAGAGAACTAATCGGTAGAATTTCACGCAGTTTCTTGAAAACATAGAAGTGTTTTCGTAATCTGGCACACAAGTTACTTATATGATCTCCCCAACGAACGCACTGATCAATCATGACACCAAGGTACTTGGTTGACCTGACCCGGTTTATTTTATTTGAGCAAATGCATGCTTCTGGTTGGCATTTATCTGAGTGAAATGTTATTTCATTTATATTTGGTAAGTTAGCAGAATACGAAGAGAATGTAATGAAATGAGACTTCTTAATGTTAAGTGATAATTTATTTCTATTTAACCAAGCTTTTATTATTCGTAAATCGGATGAGGTTTGTTCAATCACACACTCCCATGATTCACCCTCAGCAAAGCGAACTGTGTCATTCTGAATGGTGGCAGACAATGTCGAACCAATGTTAGTAAAAAAGAGCGGTTGAAGAGAAGAAAAAAGAGAAAGACAAAGAACAAAGAATCAGGAAACAGCCAGTTGAAGGGCAAGCAAGTGGCTCTTTAAAACATGTCTAAAATTAGTAATTCTAGAAATATTACGAATTTCAGAAGGCAGTCCATTCCACAGCGCAATCGACTGTACTGTAAATGATCTATGATAAATTTCAGTGCTATGAACGGGAAATGTAAGAATAGTATCAGAACGTGAACGAGTAGCAAGCTCATGAGTTGATAATTGCTGGAACCTATCTGATAAGTACTTTGGGGTGCAGTTATGAAGGATTTTAAATAAAATGGTTAATAAACGAAAGGATCTACGTCTCTCACAGGTTAACATCTGAATGTAATTGCGATACGGCGTTACATGCTCAAATCTATTTAGGTCAAATATGAACCGGATACAATTATTTTGTAGCCGCTGCAATTTACTCAGAAGAGTCACCGAGAGATCGGGATAAACCGCGTCCGCATAGTCAAAGTGAGGAAATATAAGAGAGTAACAAAGATTACGACGCACCACAGGAGGAAGAGAGCAGCGAAGTCTTTTTAAAGAGTGGAAGCAAGCATAGACTTTTCTGCAAACATGTTGAATTTGCGGTTTCCAAGACAGTGCAGAATCCATAAGGACTCCAAGATTTTTAACTG